AACGGAAATGTTTTTTATTTCAGTTTTCGTTAACGATAATAACCTTGAATTGAAAAGGAATTCCTGACTTCTGAATTCCACTAGAGTCCTGGTTTGACGCTGTTTTGATCACGCTCTCCTGTTTCTTCATTCAGCCTTTGAACATAATGTTCAGCAGTGAGGGAACAGTAAAGGTTGGAGACTTCGGCCTCGTGACCGCAGCAGAAAATGACAATGACCAGCAACTGCTGGAACGGACTAAAAGGACAGGAACCCGTATTTACATGAGCCCAGAACAGGTGAGTCAGGAGACATACATTAGAATTTGACCTGCTGTTCATAAACCATTTTACTTGACTGTAATTTGCATATTTCATTTAAATTGGAATGTTCATGCACAATAATAAAACATGCACAGTAAGATTGTGAGTAGTGCTAGGCGGTATGACCAAGAATTTATATCACAGTATTTTTCAAAATTATACCGGTTTCACGGTACATAACGGTATTTTTTTGACTAATTGTGAGGAATATGCGTTTACAAAGTAAATAAGAATCTGTCTGACTGAAGGTACTATGAGATTGTAATATGTAAGTGTGCTTTATGTGAGTGTAATGCTGAAGATTTCACTGTTTTTAAACTGAATATTTAGGCGAATCAAACATCGTATGACAGAAAGGTGGATATATACGCTCTGGGTCTCATTTATTTTGAACTCATCTGGAATCTCTTCACGTTGCATGAAAGGAAAAAGGTTTGATTCATCTTTTAGTCTCTTATATAATAATACAATCTATGTATTCATCCTGAACACGGAAATTTAATCTACATGTAAGTGTCTGATATGTTACACTACAAAGAATGATTTTCTTAGTATTTTTGTCATTTTCTAGTACAAACATCTAAACATTCTTAAGTCAAGGTACATTTACTCGAGAACCAAAATGACTTAAGATATTAAGTTTTATTTTCTGAAAAATTCCTAGTTAAATATTATAATATTAAAAGTTATGCTTAAAACAGGAACATATATCTGCCAGTGGGGTGAGAAAAAATAAACTTAATTAAAAGGGAAAACTTTTTTTTTTATTTTTTTTAGCAAAAACAAGATTTGTATACATTTTTCATAAAACAAGACTTCATATCTCAAGTTATTTTGCTTCTCAAGTAAATGTATCTACATTTTAGAATGTTTAGATAATTGTACTAGAAAACAAGACAAAAATACTGAGTATCACAAATAATTTTTTTTTGCAGTGTATAAATATTGAAGTTTTTTTTTTTTTTTTACTTTGTGACTTTTAGATTTGGGATGAAATAAGAAGTAGGGATTTTCCATCACAGTTCTCCAAGAAATGTAACTTTGAGGTGAGTGTAATTTCATTAGTGACGATGTTGAAATTGAGCATGGTTTTCTTTGGTGCAAGTGCTATTGTGCTAAAATTATCAATTGGTCAATCAATTATCAATCAATTTAAATATTAGCCTGCTATGATCACTTACTCGAAGCTGACCATTACCTAACATGCAGACTCGTTTTTCATGGCTGTTGAAACAGCACAAGCTCATAGATCGAATGCTGAGTCCCAGTCCTGACGAGAGACCAGACGCCTCCGAGCTGATCAGTGAGCTGGACCGATATACTAACATCCTGAAAGCAGATAAAGACAACAGGACCATTTAATGAGATCTCATCTCATCTTATATGCCTTTATAATAATAGCAGTTGCTTATACTGTAACATTCAAGGTGAAGCATTTAGCAGATGCTTCCATAGAACAACTTACAAAAAGGTTCACACGGCAAGTGTGCAATTCTAAAAAAAAAACTACGAGGGGGAAGTTGATGTAAAAAAAAAAATTCATAATTTACTCATCCTTAATGCCGTTCTTCTGTGGAAAATATGTAGTAGAATGTCTGCTGTGTTCTGTAGAACACAAAAGAAAGAAAAACGAGCAAAAAGGTATAAAGTCAGTTTATTCAATTCAATTCAATTCAAGTTTATTTGTACAGCGCACGATACAAATCATTGCAAAGCAACTCTACAGCAAATTACATGTAGTAGAATGTCTGCTGTGTTCTGTAGAACACAAAAGAAAGAAAAACGAGCAAAAAGGTTTAAAGTCAGTTTATTCAATTCAATTCAAGTTTATTTGTACAGCGCTTTTCACGATACAAATCATTGCAAAGCAACTCTACAGCAAATTAAGTTTCTACAATATTTAGTGGTAGCTTATCAGTTTATCTTGTGTCTAACAATCCTCTCTGATCGTGCTGTTGTATTACTGTAATTCAGTCTGTATTTTATCATGTCAAGAATCAATGGTTGACAATTATAAGTGTTAGACACTCTTATAATTATAAATTATAAGAGTGTTGATTTACTCAGTTTCTATTTACATGAATTTCCTTTGGAACAGAAGTTGAATCCATTAGCTGTCAGTCTTTATTGTGAACCTGTCTGTATTGCAATGCATAATATTCTGTAACAATAAATCATGGAGCTTTTAACCGTGTCTATAATTAAAGTGGTGCATTTGTATCCATGCTTTTCTCTTTTTGCTGTCTGTGAAGGTTTTCTTATTTGCTCACATCTGATTTTATATTATTGGGATGTTCTTGTGAAAATATATATATTTTTAAATCTGTTTAAGCATACTTCAATTGCTAGGCTGTCATTGTAAATTAAAATCCTGTAGAATTACCTACACAATCCCTCTTCTAAAAATGTCAAAATTGGGTCTAAGATATTATCAGTTTATTCCAGAACATTAGCTAGAGAGAGAGAGATGAGATGAGATGGACATTTTTTGTGTGTTCATTTTCCCCCCTTTTTATTTGTCAGTATGTTTGTATAATATATTTATTGAAATGGTACACAGTCATGCCAATAAAGCTCATTTGAATTAAATTGAATTGAGAAAGAGAGAGAGAGAGAAAAGAGTTTAAATGTGGTACGTTTTATAATATTAAAAGGTCACCGTGATAAAACTCAGACAAAATGTGTTTTTATATTAAGTACACTGGGGAGGAGGGGGGGTATTACTTAGAAATTGCTTGTAAATTTCACAAAACAGACAGCAAGTAACATTTAATTTAAGGAAAAAGTAGTAGAAAGGCTGAAATTGTAGCCTATTTTGTTGTAAAACGTACTACAATATTTGTTTTATTTACAACATTTTAAAGTCATTTTTTACAGTGTAGTAAAATTAAGTGACGTCATGTGTTAAAATGTTAGACAGATTTCAAAGTTCCTTAAAGGGATAGTTCACCCAAAAATGAAAATGTGATATTTATCTGCTTACCCCCAGGGCATCCAAGATGTAGGCGACTTTGTTTCTTCAGTAGAACACAAACGAAGATTTTTAAGTCAAACCGTTGCAGTCTGTCAGTCATATAATAGAAGTGGAAGTCTATCTACAATCTCAATTAGGAGTGTCAATGGTCCACTTGAGAGATAGGTGGCGGTAATGCACTTATAAGTCTGCGATCCGGCTGTTGAACACGTTCAGGACGCGCTCAGGACAGTTCGGACATTGCGGTGCAAATCAGAGGTAAAAAAACGGTATAAATACTGTTCAGTTTCTTACACAGACCGATCGTTTTGTGTCTTTACACATCAATGTATCGTCACGAGCCGCAGGGTTTAATTTGGTTTTGTTTGTGTATGTTTTTTTTTACTCTCAAAGCCGTGATTCTCATCCAGCATCCACTTCCATTATATGACTGACAGACTGCAACGGTTTGAGTTAAAAATCTTCGTTTGTGTTCTACTGAAGAAACAAAGTCGCCTACATCTTGGCTGTCCTGTGGGTAAGCAGATAAACATCACATTTTCATTTTTGGGTGAACTATCCCTTTAATTCAAAACAGCGAACTGTTTCTATGGTTACCTTCTCGTCGAACGCGACCACCGTTTTTAATTATTTTAGGGGGTTTTAAATAAATAATGAATTAATTAAAAATTAAATAACCTGTCAACTGAAAAACAGGAAGCCTTGGCGTGTTTTTCATTATTCTATGCTTTTAAATTAGGCTACACTCCAATGATATATATATATTTTTTTTTTTTTTTTTTTTTTTTTTCTTTTTCTTTCTTTCTTGCAACTTACTTAAAAAAATGGAAAGTATTTCTATTTTATTTTTACAGTGTAGTCGAATTAAGTGACGTCATATGGTAAATAAACGAGATCGATTTTAAAGTTAGTAAACTGAGAACGGCGGACTGTTGTTAGGCTACCTTCTCTGCGAACATGACAACTATTTTTCATTTTTCATTCTAGGCTTTTAAATTAATGAATAAAGTATATTAGTTAAGAGAATACATTCTAAGGCATGTTTCCAAAAATCACCTATAAACTACACCTTATTTCCCTAATAACCGTATTTTAAATTTTGTATTTTAGGCTACAGATGTATGCTACAATGTATTATTCCATTCTAATGGTGTGTAGCTACTGTATATATGTTAACTTGCGTAATAGAAGTTTATGATAGTGACGATTCGAAACCTAGAGCTGGGCGTGTTATAACCAAGTTATATAACATGTCACGCTGAGGAAAGCGAGATTGAATCGAAACAGAAAGCTAAAGAAGGCTGGTTTAAATACCGACGCGGCACTATGAAACTTTTAGTCTCTAGACCGAGCAGAGAAGGTTGAAGACAACACTCTGAACTGCATTAAAAACCTTGCGGACCGAAGCGAAATGTCTGCCGATACTGAAATAGAGAGAAATATCTGTGACTTCTTGAGGCGAAACGGCAAAAGCACAGCTTTGATAATTGCTAAAGAAATCGGACCAGATAAACGCACCGTGAACAAGCATCTGTACAACCTAGAGAGATCAAATCAGGTGTTCAAAACTGACGAACAGCCTCCTGTTTGGGGCCTTATGGAGAAGAAGAATGAGATCAAACCAGAGCTAAAGTCTCAGACGACCAGAGACACAAGTGAAGTGAAAGATGTGGAGGATCTGCTGAAGAGATCAGGAGGTTTAAAAGCCCATCAGATCGCCACAGACCTGGGACAGCCGAAACAAACCATCAAGAAACAGCTGTACAGTATGATGGACAAGGGTAAAGTACAGAAATGCAGCAGAAGCAACATGTGGACTCTGAATGAGGAGTGGAGCCATGATAGTTTCAGCCAAGAGAGGTTTGTGTTGTTTATTTTATTAAAAACACTTCGCCTAAAGTAGTGATTTATAATGACTATTTGCTGTTTTGTTTTGTTTTTGGATGCCAATGTTTGGATAATAATTTAAAACTGATTTGTTATTGATCGGCTCCAGTTCCTGTCCCAGTGATCATGGACTGGACTCAGTTTCAGGGTAAGCATGCTGGACCTGACAGCTGATAATTAATTCAGATATAACAAAGTATGAATGTTTTGTGTATAGGATAATGCATAATGATTTTATTGCTTTTTGACATGTGTGCATCATCTATAGATTGTCTCACAGTTTTGATGTGATCGCAAAACTTGGTCAAGGAGGCTTTGGCTGCGTTTATGAAGTAAAACATAAATATGATGGCAAGATCTACGCTGTGAAGAGGGTCATCTTAACCAGGTAAGTTTATATAAGTCATAAGGTAATTTCTAATATTAAAAATAGCAGCTTTCATGATTATGAGGCAAAAAAACAAAATAATGTAATTAATGAATTCAATTATTCATTCATTTTCTTTCATTTATTCATTGTTTTTATTTGTTTGTTTGTTCGTTCATTCAATTATTTATTTGTTCAGTTATTCATTATTTTATTTCATTATTATAATTTTTTTATTAACTTATTTTTTCATTCATTCAAGCATTTACTTATTTATTAATTTATTCATTCATTGATTTAAAACAGGAAAGCTGATTCTGAGGTGAAGGCACTGGCCCGACTAGATCACCCAAACATAGTGCGTTACATCACATGCTGGCCAAGTTCTGACAACTGGACTTCAAACCAAGAAAGAAACCAAGTGTCCAAGTAAGCGAGTCTCCAGCACTTTTGATGAAACATTAATTGATTCTCAACAGTGAAGTTTATGTGTTTTATGTTCAGCACTTCATCAGATGCAGTGACCTTTGAGAGAGACGGCAGTGAAGAGAGGGATGATGATGACGATGATGATGATGAAGATGAAGATGTCACATCAGGAATGGAAAGTCTGAGTGTGACAGAGTATGTCCAGCATTCTTCTTATGAGACACTTCTTTATTTTGCTCCTGTATTAGATCCTTTTAGGGTAAACTAGTAATACAGTGTGTCAACTATCAAGGGTTTTATTCCCAGCAGATGCATCTGCTAAAAACATTTTGCCCTAATGTACTTTAAAGGGGTCATATGATGCTGCTAAAAAGAACATTATTTTGTGTATTTGGTGTAATGAAGTGTTTATGCGGTTTGGTTAAAAGTATCTGCAAATGCATGAATGTAAATGTAACTGTAACTGGGTCTGTTCTCAGATCAGCATCCGCTGCTGCTGAGCCCTCAGGAAACAACAGAACTGACAGTTTAGACTCTTCAAATCAGTGAGTTTATTTGTTTGATGGAAATTTATGGCACTACAACTACATTGTTTAAAGGGCTCGTATAATGAGGAATCAAATTTTCTTTGCTCTTTTGAAAAAAAAAAACAGATTTTATTTTACTGTAACTTTTAAATAGGTCCAAAAACGCCCCAAACTGCATTTCCCTCTGAAGAATAACAGTGTTAGAAATGAGCTGAGGTTTATTTTGACAAAAAATAAATAAATAAATAAATAAATTTCCCTGTGCATTTCCGTCTGATCTGAATAATTGCGCATTTAATCTGAATTATGAATCTGGCATAATGTGATGAAAGCGGCTGTTATTGAAGGGTGGACCAGTTTAAACAATACAGTATAAAGCCAAATGGCAAACCCTGAGTAAATGCCTGTTAGTCATTTCACATCCAAAGAGGCACAGCAGCAAATCACATGGTCATGGAAGCGATTTATTTCTACATTTCGTCAGCATAAATCTAAGACGTATTTACATTTAAATATAATTTGAAAAAAAAGCATGATATGACACATTTAGGACAATACCGTGCATTGCAATGTTAAATATTGACCCATGTGACTCTCTTATTTCAGCAGCGGGACATATTTATTTATTCAGATGGAGTTCTGCGAGGGAGGAACACTGACTGATTGGATAAAGGCGAGAAATTTTATGGAAAAACAAAGAATCATAGTGGAAATCCATAAAATATTTTATGAAATTATCACTGGAGTGGAATACATCCACGCAAACAAGCTCATCCACAGAGACTTGAAGGTATTTCATATTTGAACTAAACTTGTGTTTAAACAAATAAGCATTTTACGCAAGTGTACTTTCCTTTTAGCCTGATAACATACTGTTTGGTGCTGATGGCAAAGTGAAGATCGGAGACTTTGGGCTGGTGGCGGCTCAGACGGATCAAAATGGTGACCCTATAGAGAGGTCAAACAGAGGAACACCAACTTATATGAGTCCTGAACAGGTGATGCATTTTTATTTTCTCTAAGAGAAATATTTACACCATAATACTTATAGAAATGTATTGTGTTCTTTTTTTGCTAAATAAATAAATACATTTTAAAAAAGCATTGTTTTCCTTAGAAAAATAAGAAGAATTATGATGAAAAAACAGACATTTTTCCCCTTGGACTCGTATGGTTTGAGATGATCTGGAAAATATCTACTGGTAGTGAAAGAGTAAAGGTTAGTAGTATTTCATGACAGTCATCAGTAGTGATACTATAAGCACAGTTATTACCCATATTTGCAAAAAAAAAAAAAAAAACATTTGAAAATGTCTTTTGCAGTGAATGGGTGCCGTCAGAATGAGAGTCCAAACAGCTGATAAAAACATCACAATAATCCACAAGTAATCCACACCACTCCAGTCCATCAGTTAACATCTGGAGAAGACAAAAGCTGAAACTAATCCAGCATTAAGTCCATAATCCATAATAATGCTTCCTCCAGTGAAAAAGTTGAATCAGGAGAGAAATCTGCACAGATCAAGCACCGTTTACAACAGTCCAAAACAGCTCTAAAAAATTATTTGAGCAGAAAACAGTTTTTCACTGGAGGAAGTGTTATTATGGATTATGGACTCTGTTGGATTTTAGCCGGAAGCAATGGTTTGAAGTTAAAAATGTCTTAATGCTGGATTTGTTTCAGCTTTTGTCTTCTCCAGATGTTAACTGATGGACTGGAGTGCTGTGGATTATTGTGATGTTTTTATCAGCTGTTTGGACTCTCATTCTGACGGCACCCATTCACTTGCAGTGAGACACTGATGCAATGCTACATTTCTCCAAATCTGTTCTGATGAATAAACAAAAACAAAACAAAAAAAGGAACAATTCTTTTAATTTTTAAGTGATTTTTTATTTATTTTTTGACATTGCACAGCTGTGGCCGGATCTGAGAGATCAAAGGTTTCCAGAAGGGTTCAGTGATAGTTGTCAAACTGAGGTAAGGAACTTGATTTTACCTTCAGATAAATATTGATTGGACCGAGTTTAGCCTAAAACTCTATTATGCTTCTTTTTCAGAGTAAATTCATCATGAAGATGTTGTCGTATTCACCAGAGCACAGGCCACATGCAAAAGACGTAAAAGAAAAGCTGGAGAAGTTTTTCCCTCTGGATCAGAATCTGTTAAGCCAGAAAACCGTCTGAGATTTTTGTGCATAGAAACTGTCTCAGCAGTTTGGTCAGGTCCCTTCATAATAATGAACTACCACAGAGTACGTCTGACAGGCAACAGCTTTTTGGTTATGATGATTTAATTGATTTATTCATGATCTAATGAACTATTTAATGTTCTCTGATTAAGGTGATAATATAAAATGTGGAACATTTGGGGAGTGATTTTATAAAAAATAATGTGAAATAACTTTCAGATTTCTACTAGATTTCTTCTAGTATATTTTAAAAGTTTCATTCTGTTTTCATCATAAAAATACATTATATTGATGTTGTGAGGCTACTTTTAGAAATCCCAACATGAATGTAATTTCACAACGTCATTGTAATGTTAGCTGCATAAAATGAACATAGATTTACATCTTAAGTGTAATTGCAACTAAAAGATAATCGAAGTTGCAGTTGTTTGGTTACAGTGTAAACCGAAATGCAATATTATGTAATGTGAAAACATTTTGTGCTTGCTGGGAAGATTGCTGCTCAAGTTGACTTTCAGCCATCAGGCGTTTTTCTTGACAAATATACTGTTTATGCTGGGTGGAATAAAAAAAGAAAATGTGTCATTAATATCAACATCATGTGTTCTGACGTTGGATAAAATAATAAACTCACAATTTGTAAGAAATTGTTACTTTTTTTTTTTTATATATATTACAATGACAAAAAAACAACCATAGATTATATTTGAATTTTATTTCAATGCTTTAATTTGGAAGGATGTTACCATTTTGCCTTGTAAGATGAAACATTGGCAGTTTATTAATAAAATCTGAAAAAAAAAATCCAGGTGTTTGTTTGTTTATTTGAAATGTTGAACTATTTTTTAAAAATTGTTTCCATTGCTAATCATTGTATACTTTTTTCTATTGTGTTCTCAGTGTTACTATTTATTTATTAATTTGTTGGTTTGTTTGTTTGTAAATTCAAAGATGAATTGCGTAATGACATCATCCTCCAGGAAGTGACATCATTTTGGAGGGAAAAGCAAGTAAATCTCAGTATGTATTAGTGATGTTGTTTTAGTAGATGGGTTGTTTCACTCCGAAGCAGTCTACTCTGATTGAAAATATCAAGATTAATGTTTCGTGTTCTTATGTAAGTAACTTTAGCTCTTTATTTACATCCCTCTACACATAAATAATGAAGTACTTGCTCAAACTATTACACAAGCATATTAATTTGCACGTACAACCTGTACACAAGCATTTGAACAATAATGATCTCAGCTACGAAAGCTTCTAAGCAAATGTCATGCATGTTTTGACATTGTTTGAAATGGTTTGTTTCACTCTCATCTCAATGGGATGTAATTGCTCGTCTGGTTCGCTAGGTGGCGCTGTTTCCGCGCTGATTTAATTGTGACGGGTTTGTCAGCAATCGCTTGTCAGTTTATTGTTATTTTTCGGTAGATCTATACGAAATCAATGATGCAATCTAGTCATTCATGTCAAAATTACCGTAATTGCAAGATGTCAACTAGGAGGTTTCAATAGCATCTATTATACGGCCCAAATTGATTAATATCGATTGATTTCGGAAATATTGTTTTTTCATGCCTATCCTATATCGTCAAGACATTACCAGTGCTAAAATAATAGTAAATACCAAATTGAAATATCTTACTACTATTGATGTGAACGTTTTAGAATAGCAGTTTTGGGGAAAAATACGTTTTGTGTGTTTAACATTACTGCAAGAGACCAGGGGCACGTTCAAGCTCAAACCGGTGCGCACCGTTTTGCTACGGTTTCCGGTTTGAACGACATGTTTCCTGGAAACGGTGTGCAACGGGGTTTGAGATGCGTTTTCTCTTGTTTGGTGGGCGTGTCAAACATGTCAGCCCAATCAGCAGCAACATGTACAGTATCTAAACCACGCGGTATTAAAGAGACAGCTGGCACAGTGTAATTAACATCCTAATAAATTCACAAGAGCAAGTATATTGTTTGCACATGTTTATTTACATTAAAGGCAAAATAACTGAAATAATAAGAGCACAAGTATAGATCTGGAACTTCTTTAAGTCTGTCTAAATATCAACACCACCGTTTCCGTTTAAACAACCTTTTGCACCGTTTTGTCGGGGCTGAACGCAGCCCAGGTTTTGTTGTATAACATGCATATAAACGTGAACACGTTTTAAGCTGCCGAATATGCTATTTAAGTATATTAACAACCCTGAAATGTGTCATAAATTTCCAACATGACATAAAACATTTAAAAGGCATGGATAAAGAAAAAAGTAAAAAATAAACACTTACACATTTAATTTTTTGCAAACTGTTTTTTTTTTTTTGTCTTTTCATGGAAAAGAGCAGCATGAACATTTGTCAGAATTTGTCCTTTTGTGCTCCACCAAAGAAAGAAAGTCATTTGGATTTTGAACAGCATGAAGGTGAGCAAACGATGAGAAATATCTCTTGTAACACCATTTGTCCAAATTGGTTGCCTGGAAATACTGTATAGTATTTACTAGTGCTGTCAAATGATTAAACACATCCAAAATAAAAGTTTTTGTCTACATAATATATATATGTGTGTACTGTGTATATTTATTATGTATATAAATACACACTCATACAGTATATATTGTGCATGTATATACATGTATATATTTATATAATTTCTATTATATAAAAATATATTTAATATACAAATATAAACATTTTCTGAAATATATACATGCATGTATGTGTATTTATATATACATAATAAATATACACAGTACACACACATATATTATGTAAACAAAAACTTTTATTTTGGATGCGATTAATCACGATTAATCGTTTGACAGCACTAGTATTTACTTATTGCAGATTTGAGTTTATGTATGAAGCTTTAATTTACCAGAGTAACACTTGCTAGCTGTGGTTGCACACGTCACTATAAGCCCAAATGCTCTGTTGTACGTCTGAATGAATGGAGGCATTAGACATGAGCAGACGCAAAACAACACTCTTTTATAATGGATGAGCAGTTACAGTGTGTGTCTAAAGAAAAAGATATGAATGAGTATATTATAGGCAAGAACAACATTACTGTTTATTGTAGTAGAGAGCACATGCTTCTTAAAGAAATAGTTCACCAAAAAATGAAAATACTGTAATCACCCTCAAGTCGTCGAAGATTAGGATGAGTTTGTTTCTTCATCAGATTTGGAGAAATGTAGCATTGCATCAGTGTCTCAGCAATGGATGCGCTGCAGTGAATGGGTGCCGTCAGAATGAGAGTCCAAACAGCTGATAAAAACATCACAGTAATCCACAAGTAATCCACACCACTCCAGTCCAGCAGTTAACATCTGGAGAAGACAAAAGCTGAAACTAATCCAGCATTAAGATGTTTTTAACTTCAAACCGTTACTTCCAGGAAACGTTATTATGGATTATGGACTTGTATTTTAGCCGGAAGCAATAGTTTGAAGTTAAAACGTCTTAATGCTGGATTAGTTTCAGCTTTTGTCTTCTCCAGATGTTAACTGCTGGACTGGAGTGGTGTGGATTACTTGTGGATTATTGTGATGTTTTTATCAGCTGTTTGGACTCTCATTCTGACGGCACCCATTCACTGCAGAGCATCTATTGCTGAGACACTGATGGAAAGCTAAACAGTTTTTGTCAATCTGCTATTGATTTGGTTTAATGTCTAGACAAGTGATCTCAGTGTCTTTAATATAGAGAATTTTTCTTTTATTAATGTAGAAAACAAAGTCTTACAAAGTGCAAAAGCTACAAACTGTACAGTCAAACACTAAAAATGCATTTATAAAAAACAGTGGACAACAAACCAAACCCCTTCATTCACTTCTCAACATTTCAAAATATATACATTTTTTGTTTTGTCTATAGTGATCATTCTGTTTATGCATTATATTGCAGTTGTCTATAAAAAAAAAAAGTCTCCAAAAATAGAAATCTTCAATGGGAGAGTGTCAATAACATTTTCACAGTTCAGGCCAAGTAAATATGAAATGAATTATTTCCTTCATCTGGTTTTGTTAAACAGGTTTGTGTCCGAATCTGAACAGAACTGAAATGAAGATAATGATTTTGTTTATGGAGCAGCAATACAAAAATTGCAACAAAAACTATGTTTCGCACAGTGGAATGTTAGCATACTTATCTAGTATACTTAATATATTAATTCATATATATTCTTCTGTATATAATTGACAGTGCAAACTCAGAAATATAGCTTTTTTGTGCATCTGAAATGAGAACTACTGGCCTACAAGTTTAAAGAAATGAACGCGACAACGAACGGCCACTGATTCTGGAAATATTTTCCCCATTCATTTTCTCCATAGGGATTTCAATTTGTGTTTGAAGATGAAATTATATTTAATTTCTTTAATGCGGCAATGCGCTACTCTTCCCATGAGGCACTGCAAATAATCAAATCAAAAACAACCATACAATATAAAACTAATAAAAGATGTAATACTTGTAATGAGTTATTTCAGTTTGTGTTTGTACAAGAAATCATACTCAATTTATTTAATGAGGCAATGAACTACTCTTCCCATGATGCATTGCAAATAATCAAATCAAAAGCACAGCTGTATAATATAAAATGATTGACTTAGTCATTTATAGATATATTTAAATACAAAATGCAAATATTAAATATAAATGCAAATATTTAAATATACAAGTATTACTATGTAGAATATATGGAGGTGGACTCGATTAATTAATTTGCAATGAATCATGGGATTGAGTGGAACCGTTTCCATTGTAACAGTGATTTCTCTAATTAATCTCTGGATAGTGTATTAGAAATCACATTTACTTGTAAATTAATATTTCACATTATTGGTAAGAATCTATTTCTTTTTGGAGAAACTGATTGGTGGTTTTGCTTCCAGAGCCACACTGTCGTATTATATTGAAATACCGTAATAAATATTGGTAAAGACATCTGTGGTATGTAATATTTCCCATCAGAGATGGGGAATGTGCAAAATAATACCACTCCTCATTGGGAATGTTCTAATAGGGATTCAACTCCTCTGGCGCTAGATGAGACTCTTCAGCTTCGACGTATGCAGTGAAACTGTTGTTTTGACTACCCCAATCATAACTGTCCGGCGTAAGACTGTGAACGAAAGCAACAGGCAATTATTCAAACAGTTCTGGTCAGATCTTACATTCAGGTCTTACATCAGTCTAATTTAGAGCGATGCAGCTTTCCATTGAAAAATTGAAAGCTGAGGTATGTAATTTCAGAAGTTTTTCTACAGATTAATTGTTGACAATAATACCAAGAATATGCAATTGGAAAGTAAATATTTTAAGTTTTGAATGCTTCTCAAACAAACAATATGATTTATCATATTAGATACTCACATTTTAACACATTTTTTTTTTTTCTAAAAAGATGATGTTTGGTGTTATATACTACGGAGCAAGACATGCAAGAAAAAAAAAATAAATTGTGTGCACAATTTACTAATTCGTTCTCTCGATTTATAAATCATGTGCACAGTTTACTAATTAGTTCCCTCGATTTATAAATCATGTGCACAATTTATAAATCGAGGGAACGAAGTGGTAAATCGTGCACACAATTTAGCCTGTATTACTTTTTTAACCTGGCAACACATCTCTTACAAAAATTAACCACAAAAAACCATGGTTACTACACTTTTGCTATAGTAAAACCATGATTCATTTTTTCTGATTCAAATGATTTGGGATACACACTCTCGAAGTCTCGATCTGGATCAAATGATTCGTGATCTGCGCTCCGAAGTTACGATCTAAACTGAATGAATGATCGTAGTCACACACACCTGTCTTCTTCTGTATATATTGTAGTATGTTTATATTGTCTTTAATCTTGCCGTACAGTGTAACCCAAGCTTTCATCTGCTTTCTTTGTGTATTTGTGTTTCATTACCTTGGACTCCAGGTAGATGTTGGCCAAAGACATCTTGGCGATCTTATAGAGACACAGTGAGAGTGAGACGGCGCAGAGGACGAACAGAGTGTCGTTGATGGCCACGCGCACCAGCACTACAGTCTCTGTGTCGGCCTTCGTCATCTTCACCAGCAGAGCACAGGTCAGGTTCACCAGCAGGAAGATGATGCTGATGCACAGGAAGAGCAGGTACAGCGGCAGCCTGACGAGACACCACAGAGTGAAGCTAGCGCATTATTACAGCATGCTGCACGCTTATTGTAGTTCACTAAAACTAAAACTGCAGCTGTCGTTAAAACCATAAACATTTGCATTACTTGAAATAAAATACACATTAGCTGAAATAAAGTCAAATCATTTCTTGTTTTAATTTGGTTCAACATGACATACTAAAATAACTAAAAACTAAAACTGAAATAAAATATTAATAAGTACAGTAAATATATATGAAAAACTACTAAAAATGACAAAACAAACAACAAAGTTACAAACTTGACATTAAATTAAATTGAAAACAGAAAATATAAAAATAAAAATTTATTTAAAATATTAATAATAACTATATTATATCTCAGTGATACTTATTTAATATATATATATATATATATATCATAAATAATATTATTCTGCTTTATCTATATATATTATGTATATTATATTATGAAAGCACATAAGCATATTAGTATATTATAAAAAGCTAATAAAAATGTTTTAAACTATAGTATTTATTTTAAAAATATTTTTATTAGCCTTTTTGCATATAATTTCGATGGTTTATTTTTTCCACATGATTTTAATAATCAGATAACATTAATATAAATAAATAAATAATAATAATCGTTTATTTTATATAGCTGCTTTCAGGACCTCAAGGTCGCTTAACAAATACAAAATACATAATAAAAAAAAACTAATCCATAGTCTAAGCAAAAACAAAGAATACAGAAGTAAAAACAAAACATTGGAAAAACGTTTTGAGGTACATTATTCCAAAGTTTTGGAAAAATTATTTAAAAAAAAAAACTTAAAAATTATAAACAAAACGTATTTTTTAAAAGTACAAATACATAAGCTTCAGATGAGAGTTTTTGGATCCATATATTCACCTGTACTTCTGAAGTTCTGGTGAATATTTAGACTTCGCCTTGAAAATGACCTGTACCAGAAAACAAGCCGTAAGTTAGTGTAAATACTGCATGCATAAAGCTGTTAAGCTCATGACTTATTAAACAGAGAATGACACATTCAGGATCATAAAAGTCACCAGTTCCTTTGTCAAAGCATGTTGGTCAAAACAGAAACAAGCAAGTTGTAAAGCAAGTGCTTTACTGCTCATCTCCATAGTTTACTAATTAGTTCCCTCGATTTATAAATCATGTGCACAATTTATAAATCGAGGGAACGAAGTGGTAAATCGTGCACACAATTTAGCCTACTATTTTTTTCCTGCACGCCATGTGCGGGCTCCTTAACATACACTAAATAATCAAGTTAAAATAAGTTGCTTCAGTCCACTGAGTGTTCGTTCATCTGGAAATATTACTAGTTATTCTTACATTTACGTGACTAAAATCAGTAAAGATTTGACAGTGAAGCACCAGCTGAAGCTGGACGTTTAAACAATTACACTTTTAGAGCTTTTACTGGATAAAAACCTCTAAACTATCCATCAAGACGAGAGAAGGCATGGAGTAGATTATTATATATGGTGATTCAATCATTTAAGACTGAATGCCAAACTTGACTGTCGTACCTGGCTTGAATGTTTTGTGGGATGATACTCCACGCGAGATCATCATCGCTGTCGTAACGCCGCGGGTTGTCAAAGAAATAAGCTCTAGATGAGAACATGTGGCCAGGGATCACTGACACACTCTACAAGCCAAAGAGAGAGTCTTCAGCATTATATTGTTGATATTATGTATTATGTACCGTTCAAAAGTTTTAACAGAAACAAGCAAGTTGTAAAGCAAGTGCTTAACTGCACTGACATACAGTATCAGCATGTTCAGAAATATTACATAAGATCTGATTCAGGCACATTTGGGGGACTAAAGAGTGTCATATACTGTAAAAGTTACCTTACTGCAGGATCATAAAAGTCACCAGTTCCTTTGTCAAAGCATGTTGGTCAAAACAGAAACAAGCAAGTTGTAAAGCAAGTGCTTTACTGCTCATCTCCATCTGAAACATTGCACTGAACAGTATCAGCATGTTCAGAAATATTACATAAGATCTGATTCAGGCACATTTGGGGGACTAAAGAGTGTCATATACTGTAAAAGTTACCTTACTGAGCTATTTCAACCTGATCTGGCCTTTACAAATGACATTAGTGTGAGAGAAAGCTTGAATAAAGCTAGACTAAAAAAATCCAGTTCACTCTACAATAAAAACTTGAACTCGTTTATTCCAAAAATGGAATCCACAATTTACAGTTCTTAAGCATATATAAAGTACCGTGCACTAAATGACAAAATGTATGTGGACACTTGTTGTGCATTTAAAATAACATGCATTGTCGTGTTAATTATAAATCAGTTGATTATTGTATGGTAGATATGGTGATTTACAGTAAATAATTCACAGTTTTTTCCTGTAGTGTTTTTATAGTGTAGTGTGTGGGATGATACTCCACGCGAGATCATCATCGCTGTCGTAACGCCGCGGGTTGTCAAAGAAATAAGCTCTAGATGAGAACATGTGGCCAGGGATCACTGACACACTCTACAAGCCAAAGAGAGAGTCTTCAGCATTATATTGTTGATATTATGTATTATGTACCGTTCAAAAGTTTGGGGTCGGTATGATTTTTTGTGCTTAATGTTTATGAAATTAGTCTCTTCTGCGCACCAAGGCTGCATTTGTTTGATCGAAAATACAATAAAAATAGTGACATATTTTTACAATTTAAAATCGCTGTTTTCTTTGTGAATATCTGTTAAAATGTAATTTATTCCTTTGGTTGCAAGGCTGAATTTTCAGCATCATTACTCCAGTCTTCAGTGGCACATGATCCTTAGAAATCTTTCTTTTGTAAGATTATCTTTACTGTCACTTTTGATTAAATGCATCCTTGATGAATAAAAATATTACTTTTTTATTGACCCCAAACTTTTGAATGGTAATTTGAATATTGTATGTTAAGAACTGGGAAGTGCATTAAAAGATGATAAATCTCATACTCGATCCTGAGCTGGCTTACGGACTCTGAAAAAGAAGACCACCAGTGAAGTGGGCAGCAGCTCCCAAACAAACAGGATCACCCCAAAAACCACATATCCAGCGTCGCCCAACGTCGACTTCAGATCTGCCTGGAGAAAAAACAATTTCAGTGGTTGCAAAAATCAGCAAAATGGCCAAATTCATCAAGACATACTAAAAATACTAAAAGGCTCATTCTGTCAAATCAACCAAATTCCAGAAACTTCCCAAACTCAAATTTTTGATTTTGTTCATATTTTTCTGAAGAAAGGCAAATATGAATAGGAATGAAAGCCAAAATATTAAATGCCATGGATTAATATTTACTGAATAAGCCACTATTTTGTAGAGAAGGTGACCAGAAATGACCAAATTTGACAATTTAGAGCCAAATTACTGGAGGGTAAAGTGACTTTATAAAGATGGCAGCATCATTGTTATTTTAACGCACGAAATCTGTTGATTTTAGCAATCTATGTTGAATTATATGCCTATGGTGACTGTTTTTTCCACAAAGTTTGCATACCTGTAACTCAAGAAGTTATCTTAATCTTAATATCCTTTTAGGTACTGGTTTTTGACAAAACTTTTCTTTTAGTCTCTTCATTTATAAGGCCTTATATGGTTCAAATCCAGAGATATGTTGATCTCAGGAGTAAATTGTGCACATTTTCAGTGGTCAAAAACTTTTGCATATAGATGATACCTTTTTTTATTTTAAAGAGGAATGTTTGAAGAACAAATAATGTTGAAACTGAACATGTATTGCGTTCCCTCTATCAAAACAATTGCATTGAACATACCTGGTCTGATACGTTGTACCAGTCGTAGTCGAATGAGTTGATGCTCTTGATTTTTGCCAGTGCCAGCACCACTAGGTTGTAACACGCACGGGACAAGTACAGCAAGATCACCGTCGCTCCGATTATAGTCACCTGACACACGGATGTTCCCTGGACAGAAAAGACGAGACCTGATTCAATTCTGGTACAAAACACCATCCAATTCATTTTAGAGTGAAGAAAATATACTGTTTTTGAACAGGGATTATTCCACTCCATGGATGTTAAAATTCTTAAAGGAGACATATTATGCCCCTTTTTTACAATATGTAATATAAGTCTCTGGTGTCCCCAGAATGTGTCTGTGAAATTTCAGCTCAAAATCCTCAACAGATCATTTATTATATAATTTTGAAAATGCCTATTTTGAGTGGAAGCAGAAACGCGCTGTTTTTCGGGCCTGTCTCTTTAAATGCAAATGAGCTGCTGCTCGACGAAGGGAGGCACGGCCGGGCTGAAGGTCGGCGGAGGAGGGAGCGAGTCGCTCTCCATGGCTCTGCTGCCTGGAGAAGCAAGTCTAGAAGGGGCCTTTCCTCCTCCAGCGGCTTCTGCAGCTCCTCCTTCACGTCTTAAAATCACCACAGCCCTGATTCTGCTGGAGGAAACGAGCCTCTGAGAGCAGCCGAGGGTTTAGGGGAAGGAAATGAGGGAGAAAGAGGAAAAGAAAGAGCATTGTGCAGCGGGCAGTGAAAGCGGAGGGAGGAGGAGGAGGAAGGACAGCCCCTCTGACGCTGTGTTGACGTGCTTTACTGTACCTTTAACCCTGCGCTCAGCTTCCCAGCGCTGGCAGACTCCCACGGGATGCTTATGCTGCGTTCTCTGCACAATATATGGCTGTTTACAGAGTTGCTTTTATAGAATGAAACACAGGGTACATCTTTATATAAGCAACTTTATACTTTATATACCAGGGACAATTTTAATTTTAATTTCTTTCTTTTTTAATGTCCATAAACCAACATTTTTCCCTTTGAGTAGCACCAAATCTGAATTTTTACAGGTTACACTCTTAAAAATGAAGGTGCTTCAAAGGTTCTTCACAGCGATGCCATAGAAGAACCATTTTTTCAAAGGTTCTTTCTTACCTTTTTATAATCTGAAGAACCTTCTTTCGCAAAGCAAAGAACCTTTTGTGAAACGGAAAGGTTCTTCAGATGTTGAAGGTTCTTTATGGAACCATTTAGACAAAAAAGGTTCTTCTATGGCATCGTGAAGCACCTTTATTTTTAAGAGTGTAGCTTGAAGATTCAGTAGAGCAGTTTATTTGCTTTACATAATGAAACACAGGTTACAGGTAACTTTATACTGTATTATACTGTATGGATACAGTTTCATTCCTTTCTTTTTCCATTGTATATATAAACAAGGGGCAAGTGCATTTGTTTTCTTCACTTTTTTCACTTTTTTTTGCATTTTCATTTACATTTTTTATATTTACATTCATTTACATATTTCATTAATTTGATTGTATTTTCCTTCAGTTGGATCCAAGTCATTAAGAGTACTGTATAAGTTATTGTATAAATATTGCATAAATCCTTTTGCTAAAATAGAATTTTTTATTTTTTTATTTAATTAAAAAAAACAAATTCCATGTAAACCAGGGACATTTGCAGGTTTTTTTGTTTCCTTTAGTGGGATCCAAATCTTATTATTATTATTTATTTTTTTAATCAGGAGTTAATATAATTTATATACTAATTTTATTTATTTTTATTTTTTTTTCAAATTTACTTTCCTTCATTTTTTACTGAGCTATTTCAACCTGATCTGGCCTTTACAAATGACATTAGTGTGAGAGAAAGCTTGAATAAAACTAGACTAAAAAAATCCAGTTCACTCTACAATAAAAACTTGCACTCGTTTATTCCAAAAATGCACAATTTACAGTTCTTAAGCATATATAAAGTACCGTGCACTAAATGACAAAAGTATGTGGACACTTGTTGTGCATTTAAAATAACATGCATTGTCGTGTTAATTATAAATCAGTTGATTATTGTATGGTAGATATGGTGATTTACAGTAAATAATTCACAGTTTTTTCCTGTAGTGTTTTTATAGTGTAGTGTCAATGCTTCAGACCGCAGTCAATGATTTCACTTCTCTTTTTTTGCTCGCGCTGTACTCCCACGCGTATGATTCATTTACATATGCCCCAAAGTTGGGTTGAAACAACCCAGCATTTTTTAGAGTATAAGGAAACTAATTAATATTCAGTCTGTGTTGGCTCTTTTTTGACTTCAGACTTGTGTTAGCCAGTCCAGTTATTACTATAAGCTCATTACAGCCGGATGAAATCTCTGCTCTGAAGGGGTTATAGCTTTTAAGCATTTGTTTCTGTTTGACTAACCTGTGGTTTTACCACGCTCCTCTAGCCATGAGAACCTCTCTGTGTCTGGGACTGGGACTGAATTATTGCTGATGAAGCCTAGGTTCTCATTCACAGGTCAGAAATTCAGTGATGAATGCAGCTTGGCCTAGAGGTCAGAGGTCAAGCTGTCATCGAGGGCAGCAAAGGACAGCTGGGAGACAAATCAATCAACAGTGCAATAAAGGTCATTTGATCTGGTTATTAGGGAATTAAATGTATCTTTTCATATTTCATGTGTCTCCGTTTATAACTACAGTGGTGTGAAAAAGTCCTGTTTTTTTAATTGTTTGCATATTTGTCACACTTAAAAGATTCAGATAATCAAACAAATTTTAATATTACACAAAGATAACCTGAGTAAATATAAACTGCAGTTTTTAAATTATGATTTCATTTATTGAGGGAAAAAAGCTGTCCAAACCTGCCTGGCACTACGTGAAAAAGTAATTGCCCCCTAAATATAATAACTGGTTGTGCCACCCTTTGCAGCAACAACTGCAATCAAGTGTTTGTGATAAATGGCAATGAGTCTTTCACAGGAATTTTGGCCCACTCTTCTTTGCAGAATTGTTTTCATTCGTTGGGATTTGTTGTAGAGATGTGATTGAGCAGTAGATGGCGCTATTATTCAATATTACAGCACCACAGACACCTCTAGACTACAGACTACAGTCCCAGACATATTCTTTGTGATTTGTGAAGAAGTACTGTGGTACTTTATGAACTACTATAATGAAACGTTCATGGTGTTTTTTGTGTTTTTTGGAGCTCAACAGCCCTTCTGAAATTTCTAAAGATCAGAAATTCTTCATAAATTCACAAGAAAATCATACAGGTTTGGAAAGGCTGAAAGTGACATATATTTCACTATATTCTTGCCTTATTATTTGAATTAAAGCCACGAATATGTTGCTTTGCAAGTTCATGTAGCAGGATTGAGAAAAAAAAAATCTAATAAAAACTGGCTCCCTTTCAATTCAGGCCACAAGACAGGAAGTTGAATTGGAATGACGGGAAGAGGAATTAAAGATGTTCAGCACAATCATTCAACAAAGAAATTTCATTAGTTCAACATAACAACTAAACTGTTCCAGAGCTGTTTTGTTCAAGGTTTCCACCTGGAAAACTCACTTCATGTTGTTTGGCTCCACTTAGAAGATTTATAATGGACAATAGAGCATTCTGGGAAATTATGCATTCTTCCATCATGGTCTAACATTTAAGTATATAGTTAAATATGTTTAAAATAAATGCAAATTTCATTAAATACAAACTGGCACTTCAGACACTGAACATTATAATTTAAAGTTTCTGCAAATAGCACAAATGATTGATAAATGCAATTCATAGAGAAAAATCTAAGTTATATGAATTTCATTCCATTTTATTTAAAAATAATGCATTTCTGCGTTATGTCTGCGACCTCAATTTAAACTCTTTAAATTTCAAAAATGCATTCTCGCGTGAGTTGGGATTTGTTGTAGAGATGTGATTGAGCAGTAGATGGCGCTGTTATTCAATATTACAGCACCACAGACACCTCTAGACTACAGACTACAGTACTAACCTCTAACCCCTAATTAACTAAAGTAACCATCCAATCCAGTTAGTTTGCATTCATATGTAGCCTATCCACTGTAATCTCACATTCTTCTCATGTCACTGTTCATTTGTACACAGTACAATTAACTCAGGATATTATTGCCAGTTATTGTGCAGCTTCAAAGGGAAAGACATTGTGCCAAAAAGGTCATGCTCTGATGGTCTTTTGGATGGTGATCAGTTATTATACTATCAAAAGGACAAGCGCTGATGATGCAGTGAACACTTCTGTCCTGAGCATTAATTAGGCTGTCTGACCAGAAGCTACATGTAAACTATTAAGTATCATCAGCAGCCATTCTCAATCAGCCATATATTTTTGGTGATGTAATGAAAGTAAAATTGTGTCTTTTCAAACCTGTATGATTTTCTTTCAAGCACTAATTAGAATTTTTTACGAATTTTTCTCAAAAAAAAAAATTTTTTTAAAAATAATTAAATAAATTAAATAGCTGTCTGCATTGTGAAATTAATCTCTTGCTTACATCGTTCGTACACTTTTATCGTTTTGGATAAAAACGTCTGCCAAATGAATAAATGTAAATGTAACTGCATCTGCACTTGTTTATGTTGAGAAAATTAGCGAGAGTGCAGATTTGAGTCTGCCATTGCCTGCACTCACAACTCTCTGGGTTTCAGCGATGACTCATCTGAACACCTCTGATTGGCCACTGTGTTCGTAAGCTCAACAGAATCGTGTGTGATTGGTTATAATGCGCAACGCTGTAAATAAAAAGCGTAAAAAGAAATCTGATGCAATATGAGCAGATCTAAATTTAAAACCGCGATCGCAACTTTTCATTTTACTTTATTCACAACAAATGTTATAGATTTAGTTTAACAGTGAAGTAGCATTTTTGTTCCAAAAAGATGTTATGGAGGCTGAGCACCCACTGGCAGAAACATAAATCAGCGCCTATCTATCTATCTATCTGTCTGTCTGTCTGTCTGTCTGTCTATCTATCTATCTATCTATCTGTCTGTCTGTCTGTCTGTCTGTCTGTCTGAATGTCTATCTGTCTGTCTGTCTGTCTGTCTGTCTGTCTGTCTGTCTGTCTGTCTGTCTGTCTGTCTGTCTGTCTGTCTATGTCTATCTATCTATCTATCTATCTATCTGTCTGTCTGTCTGTCTATTGGCCTTTTCAGCTTGTGGAAAAGCTGCTTGTGGTGAGCTTTGGTTCATTAGGTGACTTTCTCATCACCACCTGATTTTGATGATTATCAGTGTACCCGGTACAAAACAGATTTCAGAACTTCAATAGGTTGGTTTATTAACATTTTTAATTTTAATTGTAAATTTAAGTTAAATCCTTAAACCCTTTTTTACAGTGTAGTCGTTGCATCTGTTTGTTTGATGTTTGAATTTTGTTTGAATCAGGTCTCTTCTGTTGGAATAGAATTGGCTAGATGGCGCTGTCACAAAAAAATAGGGTCCTAGATCGCGCTGCAGGTTAAAACGGGCTGTCACCTCAGTCAGTCAGTCAGTGAGTCTCAGGCAGCTTCAGCTTCGGTTCGG